ATGTTCCCTCAAAATTTTCACAAGTTCATCCACAGTTTTTGTCACTTTAGCTTGAGCGTCATATATTTCAGCCATGCTTTTATTCATAAGTTCAGTTTGTCTTTTCATTTGTCTTTCAAGAACGGCTACTTGAAACTTTACTTTTTTCACGACCTCGCTAATTTTATTCTTACAATCAATCGCAGCTTCTTCGATATCCACCATAGCATGGCCATTGTGACTCACAAATCCACACTTCACGCAGACAGAGACCTTGCAATCTTGACAATAGTACTCGAGCGCTTCGTTTTGGTGATATTTCTGGGTACACATTGCAGGTCGATGCATCAATTCTTCGACATCTTTTGCTTGCAGTTTCTCAATAAAAACATTACGGTGACCTCTCGTGGCCTTCAAGCGTTGATGCGCTTCAAAACAAGCTGCACAGAGCAAGCTTTGACAAACAAAACAATACGAAGTTACAACGCTGGTATCGTCGCAGCTACTGCATGTCTGTGTCTCTGCATCGCTATCATTTAGAGCTAAGACATCCACAAATCGATTGAGATGAAAGGATGTGGGAAAATCAAAGAACGTATCACTTTTTGGAATGTTAAAGTCGGTCAGGCAAACCGGACATTTGATTTTCGTTTCTCGCCGTCTTCTTGCGTATCCGGCATGTTTGTCGAGACAGTTTAAACAGAACGAATGTAAACATGGAAGCGTTTTGGGTTCTTTGACAGTTTCTAAGCACAGCGGACACTCGGCTTCCTTCTTTAAATTTTTAAACAACTGCTGAACATCCATGACGCCGGAAAAGGGATCTGTTCAAGTGATGATCGAAGAACCGAAGCAATAATTAATCCTGCGGTGAGAGTCTGGTGCTGAGGCAGAGGCAGAGAGGCACCAGTACCAAATAAGATTTTTGTCTCGAATCGGCTAAAAGCTTTCGAAGCTGGTGGTTTTATGGGTATACGATGAAAATGGTGGCAAAGCAACGAAAATGAGCAGAGGAGCTCTTCTTACGCGTCTTGGCAATTCGAATTTGTGGTTGTGCCCCTAAACATCAGCCATTTAATTGCAATGTACAGTACTGTAATTCCGACCGACTCATTGCGGTTTGGTTCAACAAACAACTCGATGTCTCCCAAACTGAAAACTATACGGAAGTAAAAACAAAGAGGAAGAAGGTGGAAAATATCTGTCTGGTGCGAAAGAAACCCTGGAAAGATATAACTCTCACTTCTTGAGCGTACAAAGGGATGACAACGTTTTAGATCAGAGTGACTTACTCTTACTCTTAAAATGTCAAGGTATTTACTATTGAGAGACGAGAACTACTTTTTACGGCCAGAGTGCTGTTGTACATTTGTGTAGACTGATGAGCAAAGATAGAGGTAAGACCAGAGAAGTGGCGCCTCATAAAAGAAATCGCTTATAAAAGGACAAAAAAGGGACGGCCACATTTGACCAGACGAGAGGGAACACATCGCCGGGAAGGGCATCGATCTTAGAGTGAAAGCTTAGGGACATGACCTCATACAAGTAACTAGATAGGAGCAAGAGAATATCAGATGATATGCTCTTGATGAGAGTACACACGGAGGAGAGACATCAGTGTGGATTATCTAATGTTACAGTACTCGTACTGGTAGCTAGTACTGTGCCCAGTTGTTCAAAGGGCAGATAACGCTATGCAACGGATTAATCGCTATCCAACTGATAAGTGTTACCAAATTATACCACACTATCCACCTCTGATAGAAATTAATCCAGTGGATAGTATTATCTACCCTTCAGTCGAATAACCAGGGCCTGATACAGGTATACATGTTTAAACCGTCTTAACCAACGATGGATGACTGCTTCACTCAACAGAACTGCATGAAATTGTAGGCAAGCTTTGTATGTCTTAGTGTAAATCATCGACGTCACCTTATAATAATGATACTATTCAGCGCCCGAGGTGCTTATTTACTTTCGTTACCTAGAGGAAAGGCTCTTATTAGAAACAGGGCGGTTATCAAGCTCCCCCTCTCCCCCCTCTGGTAGGGACAAGGCGCTTATTTCAGCGTTACATAACAACAGCATAATGTGCAAAACAAAGTTTTGATGTTTATTTGAAAACGATCAAGGAGACTGGAAAATGGACTTGCAGTAACCGGACCTGGACCCTTCCTGTCTATGAAGACCATTTGTTTGAAAGAAACTATGCTCTCACCTGGACATAATAGTTGAGAGACTGAGGCGAAGACCACTGTTTTTGTAATGAGGCTTTAACTTTGCGAGCAAGCAATTTAAGGAAAATAAACCACGTTGGGTCTTAATGTATAGGTGGTATCACCAAACCAGAATCGGCGCGCTTAATGGAATGAGGTTGCCTAGCACTTAATAGGGGTGCTTATTAACAAAAGCAGATTTGAAGGGGCCGCTTATTAAAGTGGGGTGGGGGAAGGGGGGGGGGACACCTGTTGGAACGAGGGCACCAAATCGAATCACTACCCCTAGAGGAGACAGGTCATGATTACCACATCGTCAAAAATTGCGCAGCAACGTTTTCAAGTTTGTCAGATGTAAATCGCGTTAATCTTTCCCTTTCTTGTAAATCCTCGCTCCTTATAGGCAAACATTTCTTTAGTATTCCTTGTTTCTCT